GATGTAAGTGAATTCGATTTATCTAGTATTGTAGTGCACTAGAACACAAGACGGGTCAACCAACTGCATCTAAATGCAACATCATCTTGGTTACATGTGAAGACCATTCACTAAATATTTCATTTGCTCACAGTCCATCAATTGTCCTAGACTGCAAGTGGTGATGTTGTCATTGAAATCAAGTCTCACCGCAAACACCATCATCAATGGACTTCGGGCACATCCAACTGACGATAAATTCCTCAAGCTCGATAAAATATGAGTCCCTCACTCCAATCTTATCCATCCTACACAATTTTGTTAAATGTTCTGCAGAGAGGAAACAGTGAAACCGATTGCATGCATACTCGTTTTAATAACAACCCATCAAATTAGTGTTGTTTCATCCAAGTTACATGTATTTTCATTGATTTCATTTTTACCACCCAGTAACAGTTGTTGAGGTGGCACTTACTTCTCATATCGTTCGGAATATATGTTCACTGAAATATGTGTGCTGAACTCGAATGAATTTGGAAATCACCCACTCTGTGATGTTTGTCGACATTGAAACGGTGGTCGATTGAATGATTTTCAGGTGTTCCATCAAACGCTTAACGTCCAGACTATCGAATCGTCATCCAATAATCCACACCAATAGTCTCAATCTACTCGACATTGAGCTAGGCGACTACACAAAATGCTGATTACTGAGAAATTGCATATCAGGGCAAAATGACTACCTAGCACCTTTTAGTTTACGCTGGTACTGCAACCAACATCCATCCGTAGTGAAAATCCACCCACATAAAACAACTCTTACAGAAAACAGTTGGTTCTGTCATATGTGATAGGTGAAGTTGAGTAATTTCTCTATAAAGTTCAAGTCATAGTCTACTGTTCACTGCAAAATACTAATGTCAGCCACTGAATACTGATCGTTGGTGTAATGTTAGCTTGAATCTCCTTGGAATTCTTTACCGTGAACCGAGAGCAGGTAACCCAAGATTCACTTTGAATAACACTGTATTATGCTCATGGATAAATGTGATTGGAGATTGAGATAATTTGGCCACTGATCTTTACGATGTCATTGATTATCATTAGAGTTGAATAGAGCATTCAGACGAGAATATGTCCACAATTATATGTTATACACAGGGTATGGAAGAAGCAATTATTCAAGCTATGAGGCAGTGTCGATTAAAATTATCTATGCATAATGCGCACTCGTCACAATGTAAATCATTTTCATATGTACATCACTTGGTTCACTCAATGTCGAATGTCTATTTATACATGGTGAAAGTCTTGTGAAAATGTTGCAGAATGCATTTAAGTCTGTGTAAATAATGTGGAAGTTAAACAGGGCATGCCATCATGTGAACACCTACTACTAATACAGTTGACTTAGCCTATCAATTAGAATTCTTTACCGTAGTGTGAAAGCAGGAAACCAAAATTTCATTCTGAATAATACTGTATTATACTGATGGTAAATCTTGTTCGAAATTGAGATAATTTGACCAATTATCTTCACAATGTCACTGATTATCATTAGAGTTGAATAGAGCATTCAGACGAGAATATGTCCACAATTATATGTTATACACAGGGTTTGGAGGAAGCAGATAAACACGCTATCAGACGGTGTAAATTATAAAAATAAATGATGCGTACTGGCCACTCGTCACAATGACATTCATTTTCATGGTCTGACTATTTTAGTATATTATCGTAGAACTTCATTTGATGTAGGGTGGTTGTAATCAGTCGTTTCGATGCTCACAAGACCACACATTTTCATGTCACTTGACTTCCATGAATGAAATGTACTGACACAAACCGTGCTGAAACAAGTGATACTTCAATATAGTAACATTCGAACAGGCTTTCTTAATTATCTACTGACAGTATGAGGTTATAGGCACCGTTTCAGAGGAACTTCGAGTGAGAACACAACGCTTAAGCGAGAAATATGCAGTTCTGACTAACAGATAAGATTTAAGTAAGAGTGTTTTGTAGTGTTTTCGCAGATGTCACAATGTAATGGTGGAGAGCTGACTACCTAACTCTATTCCCAACTACTGCTACAGACTCCATAACTCAAACATCACCCTGAATCTGACCCATTCTCGAGGTGTCTAAATATTAGTCCTTGCATATCAAACGCAGTCTCAGTGAATGGAAATTAGCTTTGCATCCCCAAGGTCATTGAAGAAACACTGACGGTCACCAGTAGAACACATCCCTGTCAACAATTATTCAGCAAACTAATATCAATATGAAAATGATTTGCAACTTTGCTGTATAGCCTAGTCTATGTCTTTATAGTTGAATGGGATAATAGATAATAACTGCGTGTATTTCAATCAAGTGTTTTTCGGACAGCGAATCGAACCCATATTACGTGACATGTAGAAGCAGAGTGGACCAACGTTTTATATACGAGCGTGAATTGATGTTTATAGTTAGAAAAGAACGTTCGATGGTATTTAATGAGTAAGATATGAAGTGAATACAAATATGCTAACATAAATTAGTTAAATTTGATAGGCATATAACTGACAAGGTCAGAATTGATATGGAGAAGAATGGATAAATTTAATCGTTCAGAAGCTAGAATAATCTAAGTGTACTTGAGATTGAGCAACGCATGACGGAGTCATGCATGAACACCAGAGTTGAATGCTGTTGAGTCTATCGTAAAGTCCAAATCACGTTACTGATATACGCGCAAAATCAAAGTTGTCAAAACAACCGTTTCTCTAAAACAGCCGTTCGTTATTCAATAATATACATTAATTAGTTACAAATTCCAAATTGTGAGGTGTATGTAGCGTTTACCGCGTCCTTATTCTGAAATAAGAAAGGCTTCCTGTAATAGTAACATAAAGAATAATCATAACATATGATAGTGTAAAAGACAGTTGTTAGCTGTGTCTAAACATGATAACAGTTTTTAACAAGCAAGCGAAGTATCTGGAAACGGTTGTGTTTAAGCATGGGTTAAACAAATGTACAAAATTATAGATAATTGCTTCAATGATTGCGATAAGGTATTTATAATGACAAATACAATAAAAGTTATAAGTATATGTCAACAATTCCGAATATTACACGACAAACTTGAGTAACAACATGAGCTTGAAAATTGCTAGGAATGGAAACCTATTTACTGAATATAAATAAGTAGTATAAAACAATACTCAAAAGAGTCGAAGGAAAGTGAATAAGAAAAGAGAATGTAAAACAGTAGCAAGTAGCAATTTTTATTTGGAACAGGTAGCTATACCAGTGTTTCATTGACATTCAATATTTTCTTGACTTGATAAGCTCCATACGTCTAAATTGTGATAAAGTGTCATAAAAAGGTTCACGAAATTGATTCTAAACGCTATACGATACAGTGAAGATTTGGCATAAGTGACTGGGATTCGTGCGGCATTAGAACTAATTATTGATTCTTTGTACTTGATTCGGCATTGGTTACAAATTGCAAATTAAATACGTTCTAGTGTGCTCATCAAATTGGGCTATTCTGAGGATTCTTAATTAGGATATCCATTCAAGAGCTGTGATTTATCATAATTTGTCAACAGATTTCATTGATGAGGTAATTTTGGAGTTGAAACAATCACAATAATTTACTTGCGCTTAAGTCCTGTTGAAATTGACTAAACTCCGCCTGTAGCCCTCCTGAGGTTACAGCCGTTCTCGAGCCTGGGTAAGAAAAGAATGTTAGGCATGGAGTCAACAACCTCATCCCATAGAACACAATCCTGGCAAAAAGAATGTTGTTCAGAGTAAACAATCCAGTGACATGTGACACACTGAACTCTTATAATCATGGATGAAACGAAGAGTTCGATCCTTTAGTCATTGAAGGGTAACTTCAAAATCTACAATGAGTATTATTTTAGAGTGTGGAATATTATTGCCTGTCCAAGCAGCAAAATCCTGTCTAAGACTTCCTCGCGGTGCCGCTGTATAGTAGGAACAACCTTGCTAGACAACTTAAGCAGTCATCGGAGATCAGACTGATCACCCATTCTGTTGTATCCATGATCAACTCTGGTTCCAAAACGAGGCTCACTTGGGCGACAATCATGGACTGAATGGCACACTTGTAGTGTGTAAGAGAGTCTGACGTAGCAAATACGATTTCTAGGGAGTGTGGTTCACGGGGGTAGGTACACATATTTGCATACCTAGGAACGCTCAGATGAAAGTCCATATGTTACCTCCGATGCATGTTGACCATACCTACACATTGGAGCTCAGTAGTGGGTCCATTTTCAACTGGTCGACACTATTAAGTAAATTGAGAAAACTATAGAAATTTTCCTGTGTGAAATTTGTGCATAATATGACATTTTCTACTTGACTGAATTAATTCTCTGTTTACAGCGGAATATATCATCGTTTAATCCATGTCGTGTTTCGATTTAAGAATCGGCATTGAGGACTAGAGCGTCCAAGAATACTAGGACGAAGAGAGAGACTTAATAATTATAATAATCAGACTTCAGTTAACCTGAAAAACGTTATTTATTTTCGAGGAGGCAGCTTACTCAAGATTATTAGGTTGCAAAAAGTCGAGCTTCTACTCAATGTGATATGACTAATATATTATTATACAATACAGAAGGTGTGTTTGATTGAATTTGCCTTGGTGAGAATCGAAACGAATGTTAACTGACAAGTAATGGAGAACTCTCGTTGCTCTACTGCATTATATAATTGCACAACTCCACAAAATACACCGTAGTTAATAATTCTCGTATATACAGGATCAGCTACGAAATATAATCAGCATATGCTTATATTAAGAACATCTGTTATGCCTAAAGGTTTTTAGTTAAGCAATCACGGGCTAAGCAGATGTTGATACATTTGCATGAACGATAAAAAACACATTATTTTAGGTGGAACATTTAACAGTCATTCTTCAGTATAAGATGATCGGAATAAATAACAACTAAATTTACTTCACATCAACAAACTCAACATCAAGTACACTAATTTATCATCATCATCATCATCATCATCATCATCATCATCATCATCATCATCATCATCATCATCATCATCATCATCATCATCATCATCATCATCATCATCATCATCATCATCATCATCATCATCATCATCATCATCATCATCATCATCATCATCATCATCATCATCATCATCATCATCATCATCATCATCATCATCATCATCATCATCATCATCATCATCATCATCATCATCATCATCATCATCATCATCATCATCATCATCATCATCATCATCATCATCATCATCATCATCATCATCATCATCATCATCATCATCATCATCATCATCATCATCATCATCATCATCATCATCATCATCATCATCATCATCATCATCATCATCATCATCATCATCAATAATGGAGAATTCTCGTTGCTCTACTGTATTATATAAGTACACAAGTCTACAAAATACACCTCAGTTAATAATTCTGTTAAATAACAGATCAGCTACGAAATTTAATCAGTAAATTTTTATATACTGAACATCTGTTATACTTAAAGCTTGTTAGTTAAGCAATCACGTGCTATGCAGTTCTTTCTTAATTTGTATGAACGATACCGAAACATCATTTTAGATGAAAAACTTAACTGCCTTTCTTCAATATAAGATAATCGGACTCTTTTACAACTCATTTTAGTTCAATTCAACAAACTGGACTTGAAGTATTTTAATTTTTCATCATCGAATCTGGCCAGTTATTGATGTTAATAGGCTCGTTAAACTCAAACGCCAGACTGTTGATTGTATTAACCGAAAATCTTCAGCTTTAAAACAACAATACACAACACAAACTAAACAATTCTTATGAAGCCACAGAATGTCAACAATCAAAGAGATAAAAGTAACAAAATTAGGTTTATCTGGCATCTTGGTGAACGAGAACACAAGTCAGGTCAACCAAATACATCTCAATGCAACATTACCAAATAACCTGGTAACGTCTAAGAACCATACAATAAATATTTCATTGGTACACTACCCATCAATTTTTTCAGAATTCATTGTTCCTTAATTTCCATAACAATCACCCTCTGTCCTCGTTTTCTTCCATTCTATCTACGCAACCTTCTGCTACCAAGCATTCCTCTTTCGACTGATAATAAATAATACTTACATCAACAACACTGACATCAACAGCACAGAAAACAGCATGACTGCAGCAATCTGTGATTTATTCTACACTCAGAAAAAGTATTCTTTTGTTTACAGGTTATTAGATCATTTAAATCACTTTTATGGAAACATGAATTCGTTGTCGTTTGTTTTGATACGATACCACTTCAAGATGATAAGGTCTGTAAACGAGAATGTGAGATCACTAGACTGGGATATTCGATTAACACACCATATATATCTTTTGATGTCACACTAAGCCAAAATAATTCTCACAACCGAAAATATAGGACCAGATTACAAGCAACACAATGGTCCATTGAGCACAAACACATGCAATTAATAACCGCACTTTAGTCAAATCGAGAGGAATGTCCATTGAGTTTGAAAATGATTCTTCATATCTTTAATGTTTATAATCCGAAAAAATGAAAACCGGACAAAATAAAATCATTAAATAAAAATGATCTGCAAATTATTTCTATGAAAATAGACTTTTTTCGACTATCTATTAAGTATTTCAGTGATGACATGATTGAGTTTTATTTAATGTGAACAAAGGAAACTTTGCGGATGCTTTTCATGCAGTTAGTTCCCTTTTTGAATTTAAATAAAGCCAGAACAAATATTGATGCAGAATGGCATGAATTCATAATATTTCGAGGTTTCTCGTCAGATGTTTACAACCATATATGTAATAGAATTTTACATTGAGATAAGAAGTCGTATGGAACAATCGACATAAATGAATGTAAAGGATTGGAATGACAATATAACTATATATATGTGCAAGAACAGGTCAGAGGTTAATTGGTGTTAGTGTTAAGGAAACAAGTCAGGATGGGTGGTGTATTAGTTGAGTGGAGTTCATAAATTGTGTGATAATTTTAAAGGTAATAGAGGATTCATGGAAGTAAACAGTGAAAAGATAGGTTACATAATAATAATTGAATGGAGTTTGAAAAAGTTAACATAATTGAAGAGGATAAGTGGGTTGAAAGTGTGTGAGTGAAAAGTTGGTTTAAGAATTCGGTAATCGGGGAGGAATATAACACAAAATAAATATTTTCAAAATAAATAAGTGAATAAAATAACACAAATAACCGAGAAACAAAAAGCGAAAATTGAAAAAAGTGGATTATCAGGGTAATAATAATTACTTACGTCTGTTACTCCTCGTGAAGGAGCATAGGCCGCTCACCAGCATTCACCGTCCAACCCTGTCCTGGGCAATCTTATCCAGCTCCTTCCAGTTCCTGTTGATCCTTTTAATATCCCGACGTAATGTGTTCGTTGGCCTTCCTCTTTTTCGCTTCCCTTCAGGATTCCAAGTTAGGGCTTGCCTAGTGATGCAGTCTGACGATTTGCGTAATGTACGTCCTATCCATTTCCATCATTTTTTCCTAATTTCTTCTTCAGCTGGAAGCTGGTTTGTTCTCTCCCACAGAAGGCTATTGCTGATGGTATCCGGCCAATGGATATTGTGTACCTTGCATAGACAACTGTTTATGAATACTTGCACCTTCTTGATGATGGTTGTTGTAGTTCTTCAAGTTTTAGCTCCGTACAGTAGAACTCCCTTGACATTCGTTTTGAAGATTCTGACTTTGATATTGGTTGAAAGTTGTTTTGAGTTCCATATGTTCTTCAACTGTAGGAATGAGGCCTTCGCATTGCCGATCCTCGCTTTTACATCTGCATCCGATCCTCCTTGTTCATCGATGATGCTTCCCAGGTATGTGAAGGATTCTACATCTTCCAAAGTTTCACCGTCAAGAGTGATTGGATTGCTGTTCTCTGCTTTGAATTTGAGGACCTTGGTTTTCCCCTTGTGTATGCTGAAGCCTATTGATGCAGAGACTGATGCTACACTGGCTGTCTTTATCTGCATTTGTTCATGCGTATGCGATAGGAGGGTCAGGTCATCTGCGAAGTCCAAATCGTCTAATTGATTCTGAGCTGTCCACTGTATTCCATGTTTTCCCTCAGATGTCGAGGTCTTCATAATCCAGTCGACCACCAGAAAAAAGAGGAAAGGAGAAAGTAGAAAGCCTTGTCTGACTCCGGTCCTTACTTGGAATGCATCTGTCAGCTGTCCTCCATGCCGACCTTGCACTGTAGTCCGTCGTATGAGTTCCGGATAATATTGACAATCTTCTCGAGAACTCCATAGTGTCGAAGAAGTTTCTATAACGTCCTCTTGTCTAAACTGTCTCTTTTTGAATACATAAATCCGTTTTAATCTTTTTTATCGCGATCGCTTCAGTAAAACTGAGAGCGGTCGTACTTTTTTGTCTGCTGATGATTTTAAAAGCGTGTGGAGTGTCAATGTTATGCCTGGTGTCAAGTAAATGTCGAGCTATTGCACTGTTGGGAGCCCTAGTCCCTCGCGGCCTCAAGTTTTTTGGAACATGCTCAGAAATATGAACATGTAATCTTTCTTATTGTGTTTCCGATCGAAACACCGTCATTACAAAGCATGCATCGTAAAATCACTTTAATAGCTACGTACAGCAATCACTTACCATTTTGTTATGAATGGCGAGATAGTGACTTACATTGAAACGTAAGTCACGCATTTTGTTTTATATGGACCAGTCAGCATCATATACATACAACCTGATGCTGACGTTTACAAAGGGTTAATTCAAATGCTCACACATGATGGTGCGTGCTCGGTAGCAAAACAGCTGATGAGATGATAGAAGTTAGTTTAGCGATTTATTTATTCATTTTCACAGTGGAAACTTGTGAATAAATTAGATTGAGTAAGTTGAATAATGATTTGACCAATCTATTCGGTGATTCGAATTGTTATTAACATTATTCTATTGTGTTTAGGAGACAATCTGTCTCATAACCTTTGAATGTTTATGTTGACAACACTACAATATTCATTTATCCTACATGTTGATCTGGTTTGCTTCTTCGTCTTCCAGCATTCTCGTTGGTTCAACGTAACAGTGCAGTTAAAATACAAAGCATGTCAACTTTGAGTGAACAACGTAAACTGGTTGAACAACCACGTGAAGAGGCAAATATGGATTGTCGTCCCGTTTGTGAATGTGAACAAGAAATGATTGTGTGTATGCAACAGAATGGAGAAGAAGATTGTCTAGTTTCAGGATTTACGAGTAACAAAGCTAATCGATTGCAAGAAAAAGGTGGATGCGTGATGATGTAGGCAATTTCATGAAGGGATGATCGAACAAACAACTTTGACTCAATGTTCAGTCATCCTTATGCTCTTTCTTCTCTGTTTATGTAACGAACATTTGTTTGTTCGAAAGGAAGGAAGGAAGTGGGCAAACTAGTTTAATGCACAATTAAATGTATTTGATTTTTAAACTTTGGTGTTTTAATTGTATTGCTCCACTGGACTTTTGTGTAAACGGGCAAGCGCTCACACGTGAACGTGTTCAATTATTCTTTTATATGAATGAAGAGGGCACTCTCATTCCGTCTATCTATTTCGTAATATCTTACTATTTCTGTTGTTGCTATCTTTGGATGCCGACACTTGAATCCAAATGAAGAGCAAATAACGATGAAGTTTAGATAACAGACAAACAACGAGATTTCACTGGTGATTTCTGTCTCGGTTCGAACCGACTATTTGAATGATTCACAGTTGAGTTTGTTGACGACTGTTGAATTGTTATCGACATAATGCCATTGTCGTATTATTCCAATGATGCTTGAGAATGAATATTTGTCACTGGTGCTGTTGATGATGGTTATTTTAAGGATGATGTCTGTCCGTGAAATCCTCACCCATTTTAAAACAATGGATGTGATGTGGTCAGCAGTGGAATCCACGAGTCGTGTCCGTCCTGTATGAAACTTATCAGTTGCATACTTCTAACTACTGGTCACAGTTTTTGCCCGGACAGGTGCACCTATTGATATGATTCAAATTAACAGGCAGTAACTTTGGAGACTGATATCACGTCATGGTTCAATCAAGTCCCGCTTGCTTCCGACTGATTTGCACGCCAGTCGTGCTCATATCATGGAATGCGGTAAATTTTGTGCTTTTAACGCACACCGTAGTAGTGCTAGTAGGTGAAACAGCACCAATTCATCAATGAATTTGCAGTATTCACCTAGTGGCTTACACTCACTTCAGCACTCCTCACCGTGTTAGGTGAAATGGAAAGAAAAAATTTCATCATTGTGAATGCTGAGATTCAAACAACCGAACAGCACACCAGTTAAACAAGTAAAATATCTCCCT